AAGGAGGGCCTGAACTGCAGAGAAACTAGCCGCTGCACTCAGACAGATGGGCCTGTGCAGTCAGACAGACAGGCCTGGCTGCAAATGGGCGGGGCTCCTGCTCTGTGAAATGGGCATGACTTGCCCCAGCCTGCTGCGGGTGGGGGCGGAGTGCAGGGAGGCCTCTGGGTCATTATCTGGTGAGGGCAGGCCTGCCCCTCTGGGGTTGGTGCTTGGAGGCTGTGGGTGGGGCAGGCACGGCCGTGGGAGGCCTGACCTGGGAGGACTGGAGAGCTTCAGGGACCAAAAGTCCCAAGGGCTGGGGTGGCAACCCAGACCCCCTCCAGGAATAAGGAGCCTTCAGCTCAGCCCTCGTGGGGGTTCCCTTGGTAGAAGAGACCTTGCCCAAGGGCACACCCCTGCTGGGCCACAGGTATGCGAGCACCAGGGGGCAGGCCAGGGGGCCCAACCCCACAGAACTCCCCCTGCCGGGCCTGCCTCAGGACGGCCTCCATGGCTCATCCGCCAGCTCCCTGTCCCTCCTCAGGGGAGCCCCCATGGTGCAAACAAGCAACTTGGCTTCACCAAGGCACCTGGGCTAGGGGCTGAGGCAGCAGACCCCAACCTGGGTACTGGGCAGAGCCTGCCTCAGTTTCCCCAACAGCATACGAGCACCCCCCAGCCCCAGGACATGTGCAGTGGATTAGCTAGTGTTCCCCCAAGTTCATGTCTGCGCTAAGACTCAGAAAAGGAGATAGGGTCCCTGCAGGTGGAGTAAGTTAAGGATCTCGAGGTGAGGGCCCTCTGGATTTAGGGTAGGCCCTAAATCTAAGGAGTCAACTGAAGGAGACCCACAGGGGAGGCCCCGTGATGATGGAGGCAGAGTTGGGAGCCACACAGCCCCGAGCCAAGGAGCACCGAGGCCCCTCAGAGCCTCTAGCAGGAACCAGCACTACCGACACCTGGAATTCAGGCTTCGGCCTCCAGAACAGGGAGCGAATCCCACTCTGCTGTTTAAGCCCCTCGCTTTGTGATGACTTGTGACGGCAGTCCCAGGACGCTCACAATTTCAAAGGCAAAAGGGTCTCAAGACAAGGATTGCTGCCTGTCCCCCACGCCACCTGTCCCCCAGACGCCCCACTTGGTCTGCCCTTGAAGCAACAGGCAGGGGCAGGAGGCAGACAGCGGAGGGGCCCCACGGGCCGGGCTGTGGGGTCATTTGATCCCGAGGTGCTTCGAGTCTTCAGGAGGAGAGAAACGAGATGGGATTTCAGTTATAGAAATAACTTCCATGCAACTGTAATCGAGCATTCATATCGAGCGGAGGAGGAGAGGGGACACAGTTATAAGGGTGACCAGCATCCCCTCTTAGCCCTGGAAGTCCTACACCCCAAGAAAATCTTCAGTTCTTGCGATTTCAACTGCAAAGGGACCCGTAAATGCCAGACACTGGGCTGGGCTCAGTGTCCCAACCCTGCTGGTGGGGGCATCCTCTTCCTTATAGAAGGACCTGTCACCTTTTTGAAGGGGGACAGGAAGGAGTGGCTTCTGGGCAGGCTGGGAGGGAGGTGGGGGACACACTGGCCTCAGAAAGCTCACCTCCACAGATGCTTCCTTCAAAGGAAGTTACTTAGGATGTGTGCCAGCCCGGCAAGGGGCACTAGGAAGCAGTGGGCTTCCTCCAACTTCCTCAAACATTGCCGTGTGACCCCACAATTCCACTCCCAGCTATGCCCCCAAAAGAACTAGATACAGGGGCTCAAAAGAATACATGTACACACATGCTCAGAGCAACATGATTCATAACAGTCCAAAGGGGGAAACAACACAGTGTCCACCAAGGGATGAATGGATAAGCACAAAGTGGCCCAGCCACCCAAGGGAATAGTATTCAGCCATAAAAAAGGAAGTAAGTCCTGACACATGACATAACATGGATGAAACATCCCAAACATCATGATCAGGGGAAGAAGCTAGCCACAAAAGGCCGCACTGTGTGATTCCATTTATATGAAACACCTTGGGTAGGCAAATCCCCAACAGGCAGAAAGTAGATTGATTCATGACTGCCGGGAACTGGGAGGTGGGGGGCCGGGGGCAGGAAAATGAGGGTGATTACCTTAATGGGCTGAGAGTTTCCTTGTGGGGTAACGAGAAGTTCTGGAGCTAGATGGAGGTGGCTGCTGCACAACATGTGAGTGTCCCAAGTGCCTCTTTAATACGGTCAGTTTTATGTGATGTGAGTGTTCCTTCCATTCAGGAAGGAAGTTGTGGGCCTACTGGAAGTAGCCCTGGTGGTGTGGCCATGCCAATAGCACTGGGAGTGCTGCTGCTCGTAGTGGGAACCAGCAGGGGAGCCCTCAGGTGCCCCCAGGTCAGCCAAGTCCCTCCCAGGATGCCCGCCAAGGAGCGGCACCCCCCAGCAAGCAGCCGAGCTGAGCAGGGGCGGGCAATCCAGAGGTTCTACCCCTACAGAGGCGTTCCAGAGACTTGATTTGAAGGATGTCACCAAGGCACCAAGGCCGATGGGACAGAGAGAAGCCTAAGGTCAAAGACCAAAGCCACTGGCCTTACACGCCACTCACCCGGGCCTTGAGCTTTCAGGCACCGTCACAGTAACATGATCGTTCTCGGTCTTCGACTGTTCGTACCAGCCTATCCGGAAAGCACAGGCCATGATGGGCTGCAGAGCAGATACGGTTGTCTGCAGCCTTGGTGAGGCCCAGGAAGCAGAGCTGCAGGGGGTCGGGCAGCAGGGTGGACCTGCGGGCGGGGCAGGGGAGCTAATATCCACCCTTTCCCAGGGGGCAACCGGGACAGGCGGGACAGTGTCCTCAGTGGCTCCGGAAATGGGGTGGGACAAAGTCACGGAAGCGAGCAGCAGGGGAGCCGAATGTAGTGCCCATGGCTCCCGGAAGAGGTTGGGGAGCGGGGCGACCAGCATAGCAGAGCCAACAGGATGGCATCTCACCCGGATCGGGAGATAAGATTCACGTGGTCATCTGTCTCCTCCAGTCCTTGTCTTTAAATAGTGGCTTTGTGCATTGCCTCGTAAGCTGACAGCTCTGCATTAGGCCAAACGTCTCCCAAGTCCGGCCACCACACCCAGCAGGAAGCTGACCACTGCCCTGAGCCACCAAGGAAGCAACCCAAACTTAATGCACCGAAACCGAACACTGCTGCTGTGCCCCCCACCTGTCCCCCCAAGCTGCTCCATCTCAATGTGGGCAATGCCAGCCTTCCAGCTGCTGAGGCAAATCAAACTCAGAATATCAGTGGCTCCCTCTTTCCTCTGCTCCCCACCTCAAACCTGCTGGCATTGCCTTCAGTATTGACCTGGAACCTGGCCACCCCCCACTGTCCAAGCCCGCATCATCTCTTCCTGGAGTCTTCCCTCCCCACTCCGGTCCTTGCCTGCCCTGGAGCCGCGCCGGCCTCAGCAGAGAAGCCCAAGCACACCTCTGAACACCCACGTCAGTGGGTGCCACTCCTGGGCTCACAAGCCAGCAAGGAGAACAGAGGAAGGCTAGCGTCCTTGTGATGCCCTCCGAGGCCTACATGCTGCGGTGGTGCCCCCATCCTCGCTCTGACCTTACTCCATACAGCCTCCTGCCTTGGGCCTTTGCCTGGCACACTCCTGCTTGCCCTCCACAGAGCCACATGGCTGGTGCTGTCATCTATTCAAACCCTTGCTCAAATGTGTCCTTCTGAGCCCATGCCCCTGACCAGCTGGTTTTCAAGTGCATGCCCCTGTCCCTGGCAGTCCCGATACCCCCTTGCCCTGCTCTGTTTCTCCTAGAGCACTGGCTGCATTTTCAGGTACTGTCCAACCCCTGCGCGCATGGTGTCTACTGTCTGTGGTCTGTCTGCCCGGCTGGGTTTATGTCACTGCAGGATGAGGCTGGCCCCGTCCACCTGCTCGGGGAGGGCAGAGATCCTTGTCTGTCTTCTTCACGGAGTTTCCCACAGGCCTAGAACAGTGCCTGGCACACAGGAGGCCGTTGGTAAATGTCAAACGGTAGTTGAATAAGTGTGTCCTCTGAAGATGCAGCAGAAATGGCCAGAGAGAGCTGAGGCCCTAAAAGTGGGCGCCTCCAGAGAACTGGCTCAGAAGAGGCAAAAGGGAGAGAAGGAAGTCACTGTGTGTCATGGGGAGACGTCTGCACCATTAAGAAATCTGGATGCATGTATTACTTGATTTTAAAGTTCATATTTTAAAACAAATAAATGGGCTTGTATGGCTCTATGTGTTTTCCTTTCAAGGAATAGCCTGCCTGGACTTGTTAAGACGTCATGGAGAAACCATCATCCCACATAAAAATCCTGGGCCCAGCTGGCCTTGCAGGTGAGTTCTCCCGGGCGTTGAAGGCAGAAATAATACCAACAAACTTTTGCGGAAAACTGAGGCAGCGAGCGCCCTGGCCAGTTCATTCATTCTACAAGTCCCGCCATCACCGTGATAGAAAAGTCAGATGCGTTACGGGAAAAGAAAACAGCAGGCCTGTATGTCTCATGAACATAGGTGCAAAAATTCTAAACAGAATGTTATCAAATCAGATCCAGTGATACATGGAAAGGGTGACCCATCGTGCCCTGGGGGGCTTATCGGGGAATGAAGGTCGGTTGGTGTAACGTGTGAGAATCAGTCAATGCAGTTCACCGTTTTAACAAACTAAAGAAGAAAGATCATATGATTATCTCAGAATAGAGGCAGAAAAAGCATTTGACAAAATCCAACATTTATTCCTGACCCAAAAATGCTCAGCAGACTCCAAGAAAAAGAGAACTTCCTCAGCCTGACAAGAGGCACGACTTAACTCTTCCTCGGTGGCGACAGACTGAATGCTTCCGCCCACAGCAGGACTAAGACAAGGACCGCCACTCTCGCCCCTTCTAGGCAACATATTATCGAAAGTCCCAGCCAGAGAAAAAAGACAGAGGGAATAAGGCACCAAGGCCGATGGGACAGAGAGAAGCCTAAGGTCAAAGACCAAAGCCACTGGCCTTACACGCCACTCACCCGGGCCTTGAGCTTTCAGGCACCGTCACAGTAACATGATCGTTCTCGGTCTTCGACTGTTCGTACCAGCCTATCCGGAAAGCACAGGCCATGATGGGCTGCAGAGCAGATACGGTTGTCTGCAGCCTTGGTGAGGCCCAGGAAGCAGAGCTGCAGGGGGTCGGGCAGCAGGGTGGACCTGCGGGCGGGGCAGGGGAGCTAATATCCACCCTTTCCCAGGGGGCAACCGGGACAGGCGGGACAGTGTCCTCAGTGGCTCCGGAAATGGGGTGGGACAAAGTCACGGAAGCGAGCAGCAGGGGAGCCGAATGTAGTGCCCATGGCTCCCGGAAGAGGTTGGGGAGCGGGGCGACCAGCATAGCAGAGCCAACAGGATGGCATCTCACCCGGATCGGGAGATAAGATTCACGTGGTCATCTGTCTCCTCCAGTCCTTGTCTTTAAATAGTGGCTTTGTGCATTGCCTCGTAAGCTGACAGCTCTGCATTAGGCCAAACGTCTCCCAAGTCCGGCCACCACACCCAGCAGGAAGCTGACCACTGCCCTGAGCCACCAAGGAAGCAACCCAAACTTAATGCACCGAAACCGAACACTGCTGCTGTGCCCCCCACCTGTCCCCCCAAGCTGCTCCATCTCAATGTGGGCAATGCCAGCCTTCCAGCTGCTGAGGCAAATCAAACTCAGAATATCAGTGGCTCCCTCTTTCCTCTGCTCCCCACCTCAAACCTGCTGGCATTGCCTTCAGTATTGACCTGGAACCTGGCCACCCCCCACTGTCCAAGCCCGCATCATCTCTTCCTGGAGTCTTCCCTCCCCACTCCGGTCCTTGCCTGCCCTGGAGCCGCGCCGGCCTCAGCAGAGAAGCCCAAGCACACCTCTGAACACCCACGTCAGTGGGTGCCACTCCTGGGCTCACAAGCCAGCAAGGAGAACAGAGGAAGGCTAGCGTCCTTGTGATGCCCTCCGAGGCCTACATGCTGCGGTGGTGCCCCCATCCTCGCTCTGACCTTACTCCATACAGCCTCCTGCCTTGGGCCTTTGCCTGGCACACTCCTGCTTGCCCTCCACAGAGCCACATGGCTGGTGCTGTCATCTATTCAAACCCTTGCTCAAATGTGTCCTTCTGAGCCCATGCCCCTGACCAGCTGGTTTTCAAGTGCATGCCCCTGTCCCTGGCAGTCCCGATACCCCCTTGCCCTGCTCTGTTTCTCCTAGAGCACTGGCTGCATTTTCAGGTACTGTCCAACCCCTGCGCGCATGGTGTCTACTGTCTGTGGTCTGTCTGCCCGGCTGGGTTTATGTCACTGCAGGATGAGGCTGGCCCCGTCCACCTGCTCGGGGAGGGCAGAGATCCTTGTCTGTCTTCTTCACGGAGTTTCCCACAGGCCTAGAACAGTGCCTGGCACACAGGAGGCCGTTGGTAAATGTCAAACGGTAGTTGAATAAGTGTGTCCTCTGAAGATGCAGCAGAAATGGCCAGAGAGAGCTGAGGCCCTAAAAGTGGGCGCCTCCAGAGAACTGGCTCAGAAGAGGCAAAAGGGAGAGAAGGAAGTCACTGTGTGTCATGGGGAGACGTCTGCACCATTAAGAAATCTGGATGCATGTATTACTTGATTTTAAAGTTCATATTTTAAAACAAATAAATGGGCTTGTATGGCTCTATGTGTTTTCCTTTCAAGGAATAGCCTGCCTGGACTTGTTAAGACGTCATGGAGAAACCATCATCCCACATAAAAATCCTGGGCCCAGCTGGCCTTGCAGGTGAGTTCTCCCGGGCGTTGAAGGCAGAAATAATACCAACAAACTTTTGCGGAAAACTGAGGCAGCGAGCGCCCTGGCCAGTTCATTCATTCTACAAGTCCCGCCATCACCGTGATAGAAAAGTCAGATGCGTTACGGGAAAAGAAAACAGCAGGCCTGTATGTCTCATGAACATAGGTGCAAAAATTCTAAACAGAATGTTATCAAATCAGATCCAGTGATACATGGAAAGGGTGACCCATCGTGCCCTGGGGGGCTTATCGGGGAATGAAGGTCGGTTGGTGTAACGTGTGAGAATCAGTCAATGCAGTTCACCGTTTTAACAAACTAAAGAAGAAAGATCATATGATTATCTCAGAATAGAGGCAGAAAAAGCATTTGACAAAATCCAACATTTATTCCTGACCCAAAAATGCTCAGCAGACTCCAAGAAAAAGAGAACTTCCTCAGCCTGACAAGAGGCACGACTTAACTCTTCCTCGGTGGCGACAGACTGAATGCTTCCGCCCACAGCAGGACTAAGACAAGGACCGCCACTCTCGCCCCTTCTAGGCAACATATTATCGAAAGTCCCAGCCAGAGAAAAAAGACAGAGGGAAACAGCATGCAGATTGCACAAGGAAAACACAGAACTGTCTTTAATCACCTACTCTAATGCAAATCAAAGGAAAGCTCCAAAAAAATTTGCTAGGACTTAACCAGTGAGTTTAGCAAGGTGGCAAGATAAACGTCAGTATATATAAATCAACTGTAGCCTCTCTATCATAATAACAGTTCAGAAATATTTTTTTAAAATGTAAATGTTATTTACAATAGCACCAAAGATGTGAAACACTTAAGGACAAATCTGATAAAGGATGTCTAGGAATCATGCACTAAAACCTGTGAGTCGTTATTAAGAGAAATAAAGTGCCAAATAAATGGAGAGAGATGCTCTGCTCATAGCTTGGAAGATTCACTACTGTTAATATGTGCATTCATTCCCCCCAAGTTGTTTATAGATCCATCGTGATCCCCATCAATCCAGCAGGCTTTTTGGTAGACATTGAGAAGCTCGTTCTAAATGTCTATAATTATTTCCATATAATTATATGGAAATAGAAAAGGATCTAGAAAAGAGGAAACAACTTTGACAAAGCACAAAGTCGGGGGGTCTAACACTACCCGATATCGAGACATATCAGGACGCTGCAGCAGTCAACGCAGGCGGTGCGGGAGTGAAATGCCGCAGGCGGGCTGATGGATCGGAAATGGGCTCGCGCAGACTCGGACGGCGATTCACGAAGGTTCAAGAGCAGCTCAGGGTGGGGCAGTCTTTCCAGCAATGGGACATTTGCATATCCATAAGTAAAAAGGAAACTTCCATGCATCCCACCCAGCATATAAAAAAGTTAACTCAAAATGATCATTGACCTAAGAGTAAAACCCAAAGTTGTAAAACTTCTAGAAAAAAAATTGTGACCGTGAGGTATAAAAGATATCTTGGATACAATAAGGAAAAATGTGGTTCATAAAAGAAGAACTTGATAAAGTGGAGTCATCAGAGTTAAAATTTTTTCTTAGTAGTTGGCTCGAGGTGGGGTGGGGGTGCTGCTAATGGGTATGAGGCTTCTCTGGGGGTGATGAAAATCTCTGAATGTTCTAAAACTGATGGTGGTGGGTGGTGTTTGCCCGTATCTGTGAATATACCAAAATTCTTTGAATTGCACACCTAAGTGGGTGACTTATATGGTATGCGAAGTATATCTCAATAAATCTATTATCATTTGTAAAAAGTTAAAACTGCTCTTTGAAAGACACTGCTTAAAGAATGGAAAGACACAAACTAGAAGAAAATCACTGTAACTCAGATATCCAATGGAGAGTGTGTATGAAGAATCTAAGAACTCCTAAAACTCAATAATATGAAAATAAACAACCCTCTCCCCATCCACCCCCAAAATTCCCAAGTATTATTTGAACAGATGCATCACCCAAGAAATTATATGGGTGGCAAATGAGCATATGAACATCATTAGTCATCAGAAAAATGCAAATCCAGACCACAGTCAGATGCCACCACACGCCAATCAGAATGACTAAATCAAGTCTGATGATAGCGAATGTTTGATGAGCACAAAGGGGAATCAGAATTCTCGCCACTGATGGTGAGAATGCAAAAATGGTGCAACTGCTTTGGAGAAGTTTGTCAGTTTCTTAAAAAGGTAAAGACATGCTATCATACGATCTTGCCGTTCCATCCCTCGATATTTAAATGAAAGTGTGAATCCATACAAAAACTTACACAGAAATATTCTTATTTGTAAGAGCCGAAAATTGGAAACAATTCGTCAACAGATGAGTAGATAAACAAATGATGTTATTTCCGAGCAGGGCAACTCCACTTCAACAGAAAGAAAGGAACTGCTCGTACACTCAGCAGCATGAATGAATCTTAAAATTAGGCTGAGTGATAGAAGCCAGACAAAAGAATACATACCATCTGATTCCATTTATACAAAACTCTACAAAATGCAAACGAATCTATGGTGACAGAAAGCAGATCAGAGGAGGATTGGGGAGTGAGGAGGCAGAGAGAGGGAGAGAGAGAAGAAATTTGGGGTGGTGAGGGATGTATTCACTATCTTGATTGTGGTGGTAGTTTGACATGTGTGTGCATGTCAAAACTTATCAAATTATACTCTTTAAATATGTGAGTTTTTGTATATCAATTATATATCAATAAAGCTGTTTTAAAAAATAACATGTCCTCATTTTTTCTTTTCTTATATATTTTATTTTTTGATAATTCTATATTGAGGCACAAACAATGAAGTGCACACATCTTCAGGACCAGCCTGCTGGATTTTGACACGTGTATACGCTGATGTAACCAACATATACTCATTTTAACCAGGGAAACAGCACAAAGATAAATGGAGATACATGACCGCTCCCCCCACCTGCCCTTTACTCCCACTCACTAGGGTTTCCAACAGCCAGTTTGGGGTTTTGCCACAGATTTCTCTCATTCATACCATAAAACACATATGTGATAGGGATAATTACTGCTTGATTATATTGTTAAATAGGGAACCATGACCTACAACTTCTATTTGTTGGAGTCACCAAATATTTGATGGACATCTCCTTCCATTTCAATTGCTATAGATTTAATTCATTTCACTTTGATGCGGCCTGATAAGCCGTGGTGTGAATACACTTCGGTTTCTACAGTCATTCCCCTAAAGATGTGGGCTTTTGTTCTTCTAGTCCATCGCTGGTTTGGGGTTTTGTTCCACTTTGGTTTTACTCTCCATAAACAATGCTAGAAAAGTCTTCATTTGAATCTCTTTTCAAATACTGCTGCTTTTATTTCTGTTGAAGAGGTTCCCGTAATGGAATCATCGGGTCAAAGGTCATGTGTGTATTATTTTCTTCTTAGTAAATATTGCTAGATTATTTTCCCAGGAAGTTGTGCCAATTCACATTTTCACCAGGCATGTGCCTCAATGGATCTTAGAGCTTGTATTAAATTTTCACAACCTAAAGAGTGAACGATATATCGTTTCATTGTCTTAATTTGAATTTTCCTATCGGTGAGCTGCAATGTTGTTTCTTGTTGATTTATTGAATCATTTCGTGTTTTGTTTCACTAGAAACAATGTGGTTATTGCGCCTATATCCTTGTCTGTTACATTTTATTGGGATTTAAATTAAATGAACCGTTAGAATCTCCTTTATTATGAATGACCTGTTTACATCCTTCACCTGTTTTTCTGTTGATTGTGTTTATCAAATTGT